TGGGGATGCTGCTGGGGACCAAGCTCTGCCTTTTCTGTGCGTCTTCCCCCAACCTTAATGCCACCAACAGGTTAAAAACAGGTTAAAATCCATGCCCCTGCTGTGCCCTCACCACCTGGACCAAAGCACCAAGGTCATCCTGTGCATCACACAAGTGGCTTCAAGAGGCTTCTGGCAGCCAGGCCTGCTTGTGGCCGGGCCCGTTTTGTCCCACACTGTCTCTTGCAGGAGAAGTAAATGTGTCATTTTCCTTTCACAGGACGCAGAGCAGCCTTATCCAAATATAAACAACCTGGGAGTATTTGCTGGCTTATTGTCTGCATAAAGAAGTAAAACAAACAGACCTTACACCCTTTTCCCCCTGCCACTTCTGGTACAGTAAAACAGTCGGGAGCAGAGATTCCAGAGTTCCCGAAAACGATGCTCATCAGAAATAACATCCCACAAGGCCAGGTGTGGAAGTAGCCCAAGCCCAAGCCCAAACCCATGCTGCTGCCTCCTTTAAAAGACATTCATATCAAGTCAGAGATCTTGGAATACTTAAGGAGTTTCTATATGAATAATGGAAACAATCAGCAACCAAGAGAACGTGATAGCCAGCAGTGTGACACGGCAGCGCTCCCTTTGGGCAGGCATATGGTGGGGGTTACAAGGTGGCCTTTACCCCCTCTCCACCAGCACTAGGTGTTCACGTTGACATTGGGCCCTAAGCTAAATCAATGCAAAGTTTAACAGCTTCTGTAGTAATTAAGCCAAGCTTCTCAATATAGCATCACTAATTACACGAATCCTCCCTGAATTACCAATAGCTCATGGCACCTTGTAAAATCCTTGTGTAATAGCCTGAGAAAAACACATCTCGTTGCTGGCAGGGAGGCACGCAGCCTGCATGGCAATCCCAAAGCTCTTTGGATGTTTATGAGCCCTTTCTAAATAGAAATAAAACCCAAAATGTACGTTTCCCCCAATGACTCTGCTCCGGGGAGTATTAAAAGCAGTACCTTGACTCAGCCTACCACATAAACATCCTGCTGCCCCTGGACAGCCCGATAGTGTCTTCCTCCCAGGATGAGGAGCTGAATAAGAAGTGACAATCACAGCTCCTGCCCACGGAAAACAGGAAGCGCCAGAGTTGTACAACCCCTCCAAACATTGTCCTACCTGCTCCTTGGTGCAATGTGAACTTGCTTTCCTTTCCTTTCCGCCTTGCATAACTATTTCTGGTCCAGCACTGGCCAGTCCCTGTGGCCTCCAGCTTTCTTGCCTCCTGCCTGGAGCCAGCCTGGTGCTCTCCATCCAGTGCAGAAGGGGAAATGCCCACCTTTCTGCCCTCCCTGCTGACACTGTCAGCGTGGTGGCAAGTGCTGGAGGAGATGGAGACAGGCCCAGGGTATTGGGCTGATTGACTTACCCAACAGCTGCCCACATCTGGCAGGCGCCAGATAGAAGAAAACCCCAAACCCTCCCCACAAGGAAGCAGCCAAGAACAAGCACGTTTGGCCAAATCTCTTAAATGACCATGAGACTAAAGGAGCCAGTATTTACAGACATGCTCTGTTTCATGTGTTACAGTGTTAAACCTCATCCCAAGCAGTCCTGGTGGCTAAAGGCAATAGGGTCAGTCTATGCCCTGGTGTTGAAGCAAGCTGGGCAGCCAAGCTTCTCCGTGAGCGCACAGAAAGGCACTCAAGGATCAGGAGATGTGATGGAGAAGAGGCCACTCACTCAGCCTGCAGCACCCCCAGTTTATCCCCAGATACCCACTTCCTCCTTAACATTTGATTTGGAGGAATCCCCAGCCAGCAGCCTTAAAAGACTTTTAGGACTGCCCTTTCCAAAGACAGCAAGCATTTTCCATGTTAAATAATGCTACAGGAGCAGGGCAGCTTGTTCCTCTTCCAGCTGCTCCCTCATTTCTGCTGTGCAGCAGGCTCAACTTCACATTCAAAACATAGATGTTGTATCCTGAGTTTCCAAACAAGAAGTGGGAGGAGGAGGAGAAGAAGGTTTCCTATCCGCTCTTCCTTTACCCGCAATGTAAAAACATCCCTTGCTGGATGAGGCAGCATTTGCCATCACTTTGCAGAGTTCACATTCCCACACGCACCAGCACGAGGAGCAACAAGGAACAAGGAAGGGGGGACCGGCACACCAGCGCCTGCAGGTCATGGTCACACAAGACAATACTTAGCACAGTTTGGAAGTGTGGGAGGAATGCGGGAAGGCCGAAGACGAGGATGTTTATTAACATGTAAGAATATCTCCAAAGGGTTTGCGTCCTATGAGGGCAAAAAAAGGGAGCCTGAGGCAATCCAGTTGGAGCTATTGGTGGGACTAAACTTGGAAATCTGTATTCAGACAATCCTGACTGTAAAGAAAAGGAGAATAGCTTTTTCTCACGTGTACAGCAATAAGAGTGTGCCCAAATAAGGTGTAATTTCATGTGAATTCCATAACTAATTCCCTTGTGTAGTTGCATCGAGTAGGAGCGAGTGTGTTTCCCTGCCTGGCTCAGCCTCTGTACCTGAAAAGGGCGCTGCCTCCCTATAACATAAGGTAGGAAGCCTTTTGCTTCCTACCAAGGATTAGTCTTGGTCTTGTCAACCACTTCTATGCAGTCAGTTGGAGACAAGCAGGGAAAGCCTGACAGCAAGTCGAAATCTGATGTGTCTACACACACTGGAGAAAACGTAGCACCACAAAGAAAGAAAACCTGGGGACAAAACCCATTTAAATGGCAGGTACAAGTCAGGGAAGGAGAGGAGAAGTTCCCTGCTCCTCTGTTCCCCCTAAACTCAGAAGTTTCCTCCTGTTTGCAGGTCACAAAGGCATCTCGTGCTCCTCTGACAAGGCCCATACTGGTAAACCTTTACAGTGCAAAGCAAAGGGGGGGGTTCGCTGTTTCCCTGCCCCTCAGGCAGAGAACATCTTTATGCTCTCACCTTATGGCTGTAAAACACAGATACACTTCATCTCTCTCCACCAGCTCCAGCTGCGTTTTCGCTCAGCAGGGCTGCCGCTGGGACAGTCCCTGCTGCAGTGTGACATTCTGATGCAGGAAGGCACGTGCTGCTGCCACCTGCTTAGTGAAGGGAACTCGCAGAGCTGCTTCTGCCCCTCTGCACAACGCTAATATAAAGCATCTCCTTGTGCTCAAGCCAGGCTCGTTGGTGGCTGGGCAGGCTGCTGCTGAGCCCCCGTAGGGCTCTGGTGTGTGTCCAGGCCATGGATGCTGCTGCCCAGCTGCCCCAGAGCAGCTTTGGGAGCTGCAGAGAAGCACCGGGCTGGTACCCAGGAGCAGGGAAGCTGATGGTGCTGCCCCCCACACCAGTGAACCTGTGCTGGAGGGTGTGCTGCCTTGTGCAGAGCCCTGCACTGCAGTGATTGACTGATCCCAGTGCAGGCCTTGTGGGGTCGTCTTGTGTTACTGACACAAGAAACACCTATTTTCAGTTAATAATAATTATTATTAGTAATAATAATTTCATGGTTAATGATGAGTTACTAATAATGCCTTCACTCAGGCATCTTCCTGCCCTAAGACCCATCACACGGCACTGCAGCTCACACTGAAATGTGTGTCTTCTGCTGGGACGGGGAGCAAAGGGTGGCCATTCACTCCTGCCCACATATACCCCAACCTCAGGCTGCGCCGTGCTTCTCCTGTGTTTGAGGGGACGGGTTGCAGGGATACCTGCAGTGGGGTTCAGCTGCAAGACCTGATCCCGTCAGGATGCCATCACCTAAAGGACACGCATCCTCCTCACTGAGGGATGGAAAGCATTCCACAGCCTTTCCCAGAGTCCCAGCAGCTTGCCCAAGGCTCGAAGGAGACCCAGCAGGCTTTGAAAGCCGCCGCTGTGACCATAACGACGGTGATGATGGGTCGGTCCTTTAACGGCAGCGGAGAAGCGCTGTCTGTGTACGCAACCCAACGCAGCAGAGGCGGGCGGGGGTTCCTCGGACCTGGAGCACCCTCTGGTGGGAAAGACACGGTTATCCAGGCCGAGCGACGGCAAATCCACCCGTGGCACAAGAACCGGGCTCCCTCAGGACCTCCTGCAATACGGGTTGCGGGGTTGCTTCACCGTTGTGCCCACGGCTGGCTGGGGCTGTGTGCGCAGCCTGCCCGCTTGCTCCCCCCAGGCTTTGAAGCATCAATCCCATCTCCTTTGGCCACTACAGCCCCTCGCAGCTGCAGGGTCCTTCAGTCAGTGTGTGTGTCCCTGCCCCGTGCCAGCGCATGGGATGCTGCTGGCAGCAGGTCTCACCATGGAAAGGCAATCTGTGTATAATCACTGCCTGGTGTGAAGCCTTTGTAGCCATGAGGGCTGAATGGGAGCAGGTCACACTCCCCAGGCTGCTGCGGTCCCCTTTGCCCTGGGCTCTATAGTTGTCACACTCCCTGGTCAGGCTCCTTCTCTTTGTGGTATAACATGACCTTTGCTCTGCTTGGGATCTCTCACACCACAAGCAGCAGTCACAGATTTTAAGCAGCCCTCAGCAAAAAGGGCACAGGCAGCAGTTCAGCAGTCCCTCCTGGACCGGAACATCTAACACTGGATGTGCCCCGTCACATCACCTCCGCAGCCCCAGCTTCTACCTTAAAAGACCCTTCAGCACTATGGAGACAGGACCCAGAGCCTGCCATCCATTTGTTCATCCCTGAACACTCCCACAGCAGTGCTTCACCGAGAGGCAAAGCCAGCAGAGAACAAGGTGTATCAGGGGATGGGGGACATATCTCCCCACCTGGGTCTGCAGGGTGTTTCTCACTGGGACCGCAGTCATGTGGTGTGGCTGAGTACTGGGGATGGGAAAGCCGTTGAAGGAAAAGGCAGATTCTACCTCAAAAGCTCACCTTGTAAACATAGAGCAGGAGGCACCTCTTGTGCCTCAGGCCGTTTCCCTGCCCCTAGCCAAGCAGGGCTGCTGCCCAAACAGTACCTTTAACCCAGCTCTGGGTGTGTTTCCCATTAAATAAACACAGGAGGTTCCCCATCACCCTCTCTCCCCGTCCCTGCCTGCTGGCCCGCACTGTGCTCGGCTCCAAGCATTGCAGCAGCACCCGCGAAATGCGCTTCCTTCCCCGCCTCATCTGCTCCGCTGCCCTGGGCATCGCCACCTTCCTGAGCTGGAAGCTGCTGCTCCAGAGCCCAGCAACTGGACACAGAGGTAATGCCAGGGGCACCATGGTGGTCCCGCATGGAGGCAGCTCCTCTGTACCTGGGGGAAATGAATGGCCTGGGGATTTCTTATGGGGTCTGGGTGGGCAAATGCTCACAGCAGGGAAGATGCTGTTTGCACAGCCCCTGGGGCGGGGTAACCTGTGGAGAAAGCCCTTGCCATGGAGCCCTGCAGCTTTATGTCCTTAGTGGGGTCATTGATACCAGGTGTGGTGGGGAAACTGCTGAAGGTAACCCCAAAACCTTTGCTGGGAAGGGTGAAATGTTGTTGGGGAGGCAGGAGGGAGCCTGGGAATCAGTGATTAATGCCTCTCTTGCCTAAAATATCACAGAATGGTTTGGGTTGGAAAGGACCTTAAAGCTCATCCAGTTCCAACCCCCTGCCATGGGCAGGGACACCTCACACTAGACCAGGTTACCCAAGGCTCTGTCCAACCTGGCCTTGCCCTCCAGTGCTGGTCAATCCAGGGCAAAGCCATCACTAGATGTTCTTGTCGGTGTGGGGCTGGGCAGCTGAAGCCCAGGACAGCTTCAGGCTTTGCTGTGTTTCTTCCTGGGTTCCTGCAGACCTTTTCCTACTTTTAGCTGGGTATCTGTTCCCTGTGCCATGGCCTCCACAAATCAGTGGGAAATAATCAACTTCCCAAGGACCTGGGACCATCTCCCCAGGGCTGCCAAATGCCTACACTGAGCAGACGATGCTGCTATAAGGGAATAAAGCAGCAAGGCAGGTATTCATCCCCTGCATTCAAACCCACTCTGGCCTCTTCACATCAAACCCAAGAACATAAAGAGCAAAAAGCAAATCTGGAATCTGAGAAATTAAACCTACTGCAATAGAGGCTTTTTGTTTGCTTTTGCCTTTTATATTTGCTTGGGTTTCTTCTGGCTTCTGTTTGCTTTTTGGGTTTTATTTGCTTTTGCCTTTTTATCTACAGTAGAAAGAATTTACATATGGAAGTGATGCAAGAAGTGTGTTTGGATCCCTAAATTGCCCTGAGCCATTAAGGATAATCTCTTGCTTTCACATACATTTCATAGCTGATGTTAGCTAATTAACAGAAGCAATTTACTACTTCTCAGCTCCCACAATATTTCTGACTCATTTTGGTAAACTTACCTCCGCCAAGCTCAGTTGAAAGTGAGGAGATAAAGGCAAAAGCTCTGATTTAGTGGAGAAGGGGGCTTGTGGCGCACTGCTACAGTCCAGGTCAATGCTCAGACATGGGGGTTTGGGGAAAGAGGGGTCTGTGTGTCCAAGTTCCCCCACATTCACAGGGATGGAAACCCCTTTCCTGAGCTCTTTACCACGCAGGGCAGGTCTCCCTTCCCCTACCCATCTTCTTTCTTCATGCTATGTCCTTTCCATGCTGCAGTGGCTGGAAAAGGACCTGCCACAGCATCCTGTGCCAGCTCAAGGCAGAGGTCTAGTATGAACTTTAGTCACCCTCCATCTTCAAATGGTGTTTCCCAGGTGACCTGGCCGCCAGGGCAGAGGGAGGCTTCACTTTGACCCTGGACACCTTCCTTCACACCCAGCAGCTCAGGAAGAAGAGACTAAGAGCTTTCTGCAGCCAGGCGGGCAAAGTGACCACGCTGCCGAGGAGCCCGGAGGACAGAGCCTGCCTGCTCTCGAGTTTGAGGGTCAGCACCAAGCTGGACCTCCTCTACTGCCAAGTGCCATCGACAGGGACGGAGGAATGGCAGCAGCTCTTGGGAAAGCTGGAGAAGGAAAACGTGACGCTCCCGGTGCCGCTTCCCTACCCGTGGCATCACATACAGGAGACGCAGCTGAGCAAGTTCAACCTGACGGAGATAGAGGCAGTGTTAGGGTCCTACACCAAAGTGCTGTTTGTCAGGGACCCTTTCCACAGGCTGATCTCCACGTTCATGCAAGGCATGGGCAGCAGCCCTTCCTTCAGCAGCTTTGTTCAGGATGTTCTAGACAGCGGACCACGCAATGCCAGCATGGCTTGGAAACCTCTTGTGAGCATCTGCCGGCCCTGCCTTGTCCGGTACGACTACGTGGTGATGTTTGGCTTCCTCGGGCAGGAGCTGGGTTACCTGCTGCAGAGGGCTGGGCTGCCTGTGGACAACCTCCTCCCCGAGTTCACCGACAGCCAAGTGCAGTGGACCTATGGCTGGTTATCAGAGCAGATGTTCAGTGAGCTGTCCCTCCAGCAGAAGCAGCAACTGTCTCGTTTCTACCGCTGGGACCTCGCTGCTTTCCCGTTCTCCAGCAGCTTTCTGTCAGACCTCCACAGCACCCCGGAGACCTGGTAGCAATATCCCAGCTGGAGGGAATGGTTTGCAGAGATTTAATTCAAGTGGAAGTGCTTTGTGATACCACCTGGGTCACAGAAAGACCTTTGCTCCAGAGCTGCATGCAGCACACTTGTCCATGTCACTGCTCCAAAAGGCACAGCAAAGAGCAGAGATGGACCAGTGCCGGGACAGGGTATCAAGGCTCTTCACACGGCTGAACTGTGTTTAAATGTGGCAATGCAATAGCAGGCACTAGGGAAACACATGGCACTGGGATTTGGAAAAGTGCATGAGTTGAGCTGTGATGGGGTTGAACAACCCTCAGCAAGCCTAGCGGTGTGGGGTGGGGTGAGTTGGAGCTCCTGCAAACCACAGCACCATCCACCTGTGCTCTGCCTGCACTGTCATGGTGTGTCCTGGGCTCCCTTTTGGGCCAAGAGGTTTAGCGATGGCTTCCTTGGGACAAGTCTCCCCATCAGATACAGGAAGCACTCCCAAAGGAGCGCATTATGTGGAGCCTGTCTACTCCACACAAGTAGGTGAGATATGACACAGCATGGCATACCCTCCTGAGGAACCACTGGTGATGTTCCCAACCCTTCCATGCTCAGGGAAGGACAGCCCCAGCCCATCATTTGTTTTAATCCATGCTGTGTGAACTGTTCCTGGTTTATGACCTTAACATCTCCTGCATGTTTAGGCTCAAGAGGGCCCCAGGACCACATGATACTTGCTCCACTCACAAGTTTTGGGCGAGGTTCCCCCTGTACAGGACTGACTCAAATGGACCAAGCCTAGCTTTCAGCTCCACTCGCTATGATGAGATAAGGACATGGCAGCCACCCGTCCTCTCCCAGCCTTGGCCACTGACCTGACTGGCCTCTGGGAAGGGTCCATCCTTGCCCAACACCAAGGATGAGCTGAAGCTGTCCAGCTTTCAGATTGTGACAGATTTTTACCATAGCACACTTGTTTCCAGAATAATTTTTAGCTTTATTGTGCAGTGTTGTGACGTTCACAGAGAATTCCGCGTACATTCATGTGACAAGGACACTGATTTGACAATGCTCATTAAAGAACAATAGTGAAAGATGCTGATTAGAACTGACCTAAAACTGAAATTACTGAGGACGTGGCTTCCCTCTCTCTCCAAGGGACATGCATTTAACAACATTTAGGCATCAGATCAGATGGCTTCCTTCCACCCTCACACAAACTACCCAGGTACAGCAATTATTACTTAAGTGCCCTTATTGTGCGTAATACTGTACAGTCTGTCAAGGTGGCATAGTTCCTCTGCTGAGAATACACTTCTGGAAGGACTGTAACGTTAGCCATGCATCCATACTGTATTTCACTGGGAGCCTTCTTCTCTTCATAAGCAGCCTTCCCTTCAGCCATGGCAAGCTGACATCCCATGCAGGGAGATGTGCATAACAAGGTCTGATGCAGCACCTAGCAGAGGGCAGTGCCACGCACCGACAGCAGGAGAGCTGTTCTCAGGCAGCTTTGTAGTGCAGTCCGCATTATTCCTGCCAGCCCTAAAGTGCCTGGCGCTTAGTTTCACAGGAAACCAATGTATGAAATGTTAAGACACCAAGAGGTGAAATGAAAACCTCAGCTTCGGGTTCTTTAGGGTGCCTGTCTCACCCACAGGCATTACTATGATCTCTCTGTAAATTCCTATGAGTCTCCAAGCTTCCCTTTTTCCTACACCCTCAGAACCAGTTTGTGTAATTACTTTGCAACCCTGATTTTATACTATCCCCCCTCCCTCAAGTGTTTGATATAATATACTTTCAATTCCAGTGCACCCCAAAAGGAAGTGGTTTCCTCCTTCCATCAGCTGTGGAAGGGTAATAAGAGGGCCCTGAGCTGCAGAGAGCTTGAGGGCAAGGACTGGGGCCTGGGAAACAGCGGCTCCCTGGTGCTGCAGCAAAAATGGCTCGACAGGATAAAGTCTGCACTGAACTAGCCTGCTCTGGCCACTGCACATACACCTCACGTGGCAAATACACTTCAAATTAACACACAAAGCAAATAACAAAAGAGAGACTTGATACATCTCATTTACAAATGCCACCTGACCAGGCAGTCACTGCGGCTGTGAGACACACAACCCCCTTCTGAAATGATGGAGAAGGTGCCTCCAGAACCATGAGGGATAAAGAGCACTTACTCATCCTGCTGGTGACATCCCACCATGTCCCAGACACCCACAGGTCTCTTGTGAACACTGGTGGCTTTCCCCTGAGACAACACTGGAAGCTCCTCAAGGTCATACTCTTTGCCTGTAGCTCCCTCTGTTCTGCATTACCACATGCTCTATGCTTAAGAAACAGCAATATCATATTTCAATTAACAAAACAATTACACAGCAAGCCCAGCAGGCACAAAATACTTTCTGCAACTCACATACACAACCGTGCTTCTTCTAGGTGGGAGAACCATAACATTTTAGGCCAAGAAATAAATCTGCACATTTCCAAGCTATATACCCTGGAGTGCTTAAAGAACATATTTCAAACTGTACATACATTAAGTCCTGTGATGGAGGCCAGTTTTAAGCAGTTTGTATGTGAGCAAAATCTTATATAAGGCAATGGAGTTACATCCTCTTGCACCATATTTTCTGGATGACCCTAGGAGTGCAAAGGTTGAAAAGGGACATCTTTATAAAGCTATGGGCCAGAGAAACAGATAAGAGTTGGCACATGATGAGCAGGTACAGTACATGTCTGATATCACCTAGAGATAACGTGATGCTACAGTGTTAAATCTGAGTGACAAAACCTTTGAAGAGGGATGCTCAGCGTTGAATCCAACATGAAAAATGCATTCAACCCAGAAGACACGAGGTCATCACACAGCACATTTTTCAGATAAGCAGTCCCTGTAGCAAAACATTGTCATTCTCTTACATTCAGCAAAACCAAGAGTTGGCTGGAAAAGAAGGCAAGGCAATAGCACGACAGCAAGGGACTGACCCTAGAGGGCACCCAGAGCCAGCTAATCCCCAGCTAGCTGTGTCCATCCTCCTCTCCCTTTCCTGGGCCGGTATAAACTGCCTTGGGAACAATCATGAGTAACTTTCTCTGTCATTCCAAGGTCTCTGATGTCTTTTCTTATTTAAAGGACGGGGAAAGATGTGGAGGTGTTGGGTGGGAAAAGGCTGGGCTAATGAAGCAGTATCTTGCTACAAGTCTTCTTGGTATAGGTCTAGTTTTTATCTTTAATCAGTAGTACGTGAACTAAGAATTCCTTAAAGCCCCAGTGCAGACAAAGCAATAGTCATTTAACACAGGATAAACCAGCGATTGGTCACATTTTAGGATATTCCTGTGAGCCACTTTTGTTAAATAGGCAAGACCATCTTCGTTAGCTTACATCAAAACTCCTCCTCATCTTTCTCTAGTGTATATCAGGCTTTGTGTGCAGAAGGGACACAACAGGGTCCAGCCCTCAGTGCCTCTCATGCCTTCCCCCATCTCAGCTAGAGGGCTGTTTGTCTGGGTATAATGCATTCAAGTTCTTGGCACAGCATCACAAGGTGATCCATCTTTTCCCTACAGTAGAAAAAGAAGAAACTACCACCCTGCTATTTCACATTGGCTGGCAATACGCATGTCTCCCATCCTTGCAGCAGTTTTAAATGAAACCTGGAAGATTTTTCAATAACATCTGGATAACATCAGCTTCCACTTACTCTTCATTTGAATTTACATCACAGCTATAATCTGGCAGCAATTCCTTCTGCTAGAGGAAACAATGATTGGACAATTAAATGTGAAAGCTCCATGAATCAGTGGATGAGCCGCATGAACACAGATTTATTTTTCCCATTATAGTCCTACTGCTTTGTGGTCCCTCTGGTGTCAGCTCAGGTTCAGGAGGAGACTTTGCTCCTCAAGCTTCCCTTCTACACACGCACGGACCATGGCTTAAAGGTCCCTGGCTCAGCAGAAGGGCACTGTAAAGAGAAAACAAAGTAAGTTAGCAACAAATGAAAGTCCTGGCTTGGGTTTGGAGTGCCCCACTATGCTCCTTTTGAGATGGGTGACTTTGTACCATTGAAGACCTGAGCTCATACCCCAGTCCTTCAAAACACAGAGATGTCTTTCTCATGGCACCTCTGTTAGAGGCTGGGACTGGCTCTAGCTGAAGGGCTGATGGTCAACAGCCTGTGCAAGTTCTTAAAACCATTTCCAAGTCCTCCTCCCAGACAGTGATGCAGGTGTCAGGTGAGAATGACCAAGATAACCAGGTTTTGCTGTTAACCACAAAGGGGTTCAAGCTGGCAAAAGCCTGGAGGATGCCCACATGGACAGACAGCTGTTTCCTGAGTATACTGCAACCAGCAGGTCCCTGTGCAGGGACCAACTCCTATGCAGCCCTGTCACTGTTAACAGAGGAGGAAGCCATGAAGAAACAGTGAAAGGGTTGACTCCTGTGCTCATTCAGATCAAGCCCACAGCCTCTAAGAAGACTCCTGTGACCATAACACTGAGAAGAAGTGAGTATTTTCAGCAACATTTTCCTCTCCCTCCCTCCCTCCCTGAGGGACACCATTAAATCACAGAATGGACCTGCAAGATATGCTAGTGGTGGTGATTCCCTGAGAGAAGATAGTCAGCCAGGGCCTTTGTTCTACAGACAGCACTTGGAAGAACTGCAGCTTCATGATACTGTATAGCAACCTTTCCTGCAACAGGAGCCCTAGCAGTGCTGGTCTGTGGACTGGTCTCTCATTTGGTGGCATGTTAAATGAAGGGTAACACCCATGAAATGAACCCCATCCGCTTAAGCAGGGCCACAGCCTCTGGTCTTGCCCTAATCCCAGACCTGGGCCACTGTGACCAGCACACACACTCCATCATATGGGGTAGGAAGCAGACTATGCAACCAGAAGCTATTACCATTTTGGTGAAGATATCCACACAAGCATTGCGGATCCTCTCTGGGGTGGCAGGACTGTCCAGCCTGAACGGTTCAGTCAGGCCAGAGTCCTTCCTTGCTGAGTAGATGGCATCTTTAATGGCATAGAACACTGAGGCAGACAGGAACAGAGGTGGTTCTCCCACAGCCTAGACAGAGTACAAGCAAGAGTGAGGCTGCAGCCCAAAACAGTCCTGGCCCTTGAAAAACTAATGAAGCTAAAGAAAGATGACCAAGCCTTATGTGACAATAAGGAATTGTTTGTATTCCTTATTCCTTCTTTGTAATGTCTCAGTCTCCCAGATGTGGTCAGGAAGCAAAGGCCAAGCCAAAACATCCCCTTGCCTTCCAGATGTGAGCCTTAGTCTACCAGATGTGATCAGTGGGGAAACATGAAGCTAAGGCAGCCTCCAGTCTGCCACATGGTATTGGTGAGGTAAGACTGAGCTAAAACAGCTCTCAGTCCATTTAAAGAACAGACAGTAGGAAAACACAAGCTTTCTGGCACAGCAAGGCTGTTCTGAATTAAAGAGGGACTAACCCATTCCCACAGACTTTGGAATGGTGCTAAAACTGCAGCAAAGGGAATTCAGATAGATCAGTGGTGAGCTGTCTGGGCAGAGACCATGATGCTCCATCACTAGAGGTCCTTGCAAACCAGCAGAAATGCCTTCCTCAGGGATTACACAAGTATTATCTAGTACTGAGGTGCCTGCCAGCCCCTTTTTTCTTAATTGCCATCACTACTGATCATCCAAAAACTTCTCCTTGATGAAGATGCTCCTGTGGATGAAGGGGAAATGGGAATCTCTAAGGAAGCAGGCCAGGCATATACAAATAAGGATGTTAGATGGCCTCTAAATGCTCTGTTGAACCATAAGTAAAGCAAATTCATTGATGCTGTACCTCCAGCCCTGCTCTGTGCAGCCCTCACTGACTGCAGAGAACAGCACTGACTGCAGTGGGAACAGCCCATGGATTAATAATGGACCTTTAGGACACATGGATTAATAATGGACCTTTAAGGGTGTCATGAGCACTGAAAGAGTAAAGAAACAAACCATGAAAACTCAGACACAAGATGTTGGCATATCAGACCTGGGGAAGTGGCACTGCTGGCAACATTATTTGCAGTGGTGGCTTTGGTGCTGGGGAGGAGCAACCAGGGAACTGACATGCAGGGGAAGGCTGTGGCCTCTGTTACAGCAGTAAAGCCACTTCAGTCCTCTCTAATGGATAATCAGGACAGCAATGTGCAGGTCATTTCAGTTCTTCCTAACTATAAAGGATAATATGCATCCCTCTGGTAAGGAATGAGAAAACATCCTGACCCCAGAATACAGCCAGCATAGCACATGCACCATTACTTCATCACACCCAGTGTCAAGAGTTATAGAGCAGGAAGAGGCCTACAGGTCTCACAGGTATACCTTGGATGAATAAACCGCCTTGCTGTTCGGACAGTCACGGAGAAGAGACACATAGAATTCCGTTGGGATGTCTCCGAACGCTGGGATTTTGTACATCCCAGGCCCTCGAGTATACAAGTTTCCTTCAGGAGAATAGCGTAGCTCCTCCATGGTGAAGAGCCCAAGGCCTTGGACAAATGCTCCTTCTATCTACAAACACATCCAAACAAGGTTACATATTTTTTGCTGCTGTTCCTCCCTGCACTAGAACAAACAGTGATGATTTCTACCAGAGTTTCCAGCCCTCCCCTCCTAATTTCCCACTTCTCATCCCTAAACCCTTGTCCCTTTTGCTGAGTACAGCTTGGCAGCTTTGCACAGTCCCTGTGTTCCCATAAAGATGTGGCTGCATTGCCCTGGCAGGTAAAGCAATTTACAGATACACACAAACAGATATGCTGCAAATTCAGGACAGGAATTCTCTGAGGAACCAAGGGAAAAAAGGAAATCAATGCCACAATACTCATTCTGTCACAGGCAGGTTACCACTGAATGGGTTGTACTTGCTGATAATTCAAAGAACAAGAAGACTGAAGATGACATAGCTGAAGATAAACTATTTTACACTCTCTATTTCAGTATAAATGCTTTCCTAAGTACTGCATATTCTCAGGTGACCAGCACAGACACCTGCAAAAAAACACTCCTGTATCCATTCAAATACTAAAGACCAGTGTAAATTTTAGGAGGGGAAAAAAGGGGGGGAAGCAGCTATGAGGGGAGGATGTGCTTGAACAACTTGACATGAAGCAGCTCTGCTCTCTGGGCTCACAGAGGCAGAGCAGTCTAAATACCTGGAATGAACATTCATAAACCTAGCTCTCTGTGCTTTTGCTCCTGCAGTCACACAATATCCTTTCCTGTGCCCCCAGATCCTCTGCAGCAGTTCCTCGAAGGACACAGGAAACTGAGATGTCTTTGACAGGCTCTGTATAGCCTCTCTCTTTGTACCCAAGCTGACAGGCTGTGAAGATGGAAAGGCTCCTTTTCCCCTTAGCCACTTCCAAA